GCCCTGGGTTAACTCTCCAGGACAGAAAAAGAAAAATTTAAATATGTTCTTACTATAAAATTAGTTCATGCAAAAAAAAAAAAAGGTGGGCTCATGGATATTATAATTTGAAATTATTCATCCTTGCTACTGTTAAAATTTTGATAATTAATTTGCTTCCTAGTTTAATACATTTTAATATCATCCTTTGGAAACAGACTAGAAAACACTATTTTATTTTATTTATTTATTTTCTAGACAGGGTCTTGCTCTGCAGCTCAGGCTGGCCTTGAACTTACTTTGTAGCCCAGGCTGGCCTCGAACTTGGAGCAATCGCCCTGTGTCAGCCTCCCAAGTGCTGAGATTAGAAGACACCATTTTAAAATGAGGACCAGGTTAAATAAAGTTAGTAAGTGCTCAGCAGGCATGACAGGAGTGGAGAAGGAGGAGGGAGGAGTGGCTAGAGGAGGTATGTAGGACAGGGCAAAGCTCTGATAGTCCTTTTGGAAAAGATACCTAGTTGTTTATGCTAGAAAAAATAATATTTGCTAAATTTGTTTATTGAACTTTCTTTCTTCCTTTCTTTTTGGTTATCTTCTTTTTGTGTGTGGGGGGTTCTGGTACCAGGAATTGAACTCATGACCTTGTGCTTGCCAGGCAGGCGCTGTACCGCTAAGCTAAATCCCCAGCCCCCTTGCTGTCTTTTTGAAAGGAGGGTTTCACTATAGTTCAAGCTGTCTTTGAACTCACTTTGTAGCCCAGGCTGGCCTGAAACTCCCAGTGATCCTCCTGCCCCAGCCTCCCAAATTCTGGGATTACAGGCATGTGCCACCACACCCAGCTGGACTTTCTAATACTTTTTTGTAAAATCAAACATAAACACCTTTTTAAAAATATCTTCCCAGGGTAGACTTTGTTTGTTTGTTTGAGACAGGGTCTCACTATGTAGCCTGGGATGGCCTAAAACTCCCAGTGATCCTCCTGCCACAGCCTCCCAAGTGCTGGGATTACAGGCATGCACCACCACTAGAAAACATTTTAGGGGCTGGGGATTTAGCTCAGCAGCAAAGCACCTGCCTGGCAAGCGCAAGGTCGTGAGTTCGGTTCCTGGTACCGGAGAAAAACAAACAAGCAAACAACCAAAAAAAAAATTTTAAACCCCTTTTTCTTCTTTTTGCTTTGGGAAAAAATGGTATCCATTTAATTTTCCTGAAAAGCTGCTCATTTTAAGGAACAACATCTCCATCTTGTGGTCATATAGGATAATTTGCTTAAGATTTTTTTGTGTGTGTATGTGTCATTTTGCAGACAGAGTCTGGCTATGCAGTTCAGGCTGGCCTTGAGCTCACTTTGTAGCCCAGGCTCATCTCGAACTCTCAGTGATCCTTCTGCCTCAGCCTCCCAAGTGCTGGGATTACAGGCTTGCACCACCACGCCTGGCTAATGTTGCTTAAGATTTAAGCAGAGCGTAACACTAATTTTGTGGTAAAGGCCCAGAAACATGAGTCTGTGAGACTCACATCTTTCTTTAGAATATTTCTATTGATTAATTATTAATTTTAATTTTATGAGTTCTGTTATATTAAAAGTATTTAACAGCAAAAAATCACAAAAAATAAAATATTGCATTTTTAATATTTATTGAGTGTTTATTAAAAAGCATTACAGCAGGGCGTGGTGGTGCACGCCTGTAATCCCAGCATCAGGAGGCCGAGGCAGGAGGATCATTGTGAGTTCAAGGCCAGCCTGAACTACAAAGTGAGCTCAAGGCCAGCCTGACCTGCATAGCAAGACCCTGTCTCAAAAAGACAAAAAAAAAAAGAGTAATCCAAGCAATTGGGAAGCCAATGCAGGAGGAGCACTGCGAGTTCAAGGCCTGCTTGGGCTACATAGTGAGTTCAAGTTCAGCCTGAACTGCATAGTGAGACCCTGTCTCAAAAAAAGTCTAAAAAAGAACACAGTATTTTTTTGGGGGGGGATCTTTTTGAGACAGGGTCTCACTGCAGTTCAGGCTTGCCTTGAGCTCAGTTTGAACCCCAGGCTGGCCTCGAATTTGCAACAGTCCTCCTGCCTCAGCCTCCCAAGTGCTAGGATTACAGGCGTGCACCACCATGCCCGGCTAACACAATATTTTCTTATATTAACTACAATGAAAATATCAATAACACTTTACAAAAAATAATCTTTACTTCAATTATCACACCTAAGGCAGTCTGCACACATGACAATAGCACATTTCATACACACACATATCGCTTACACTGACAGCACGTGTGCTTTCCTACCCATCTCAGTGGTCTTGCTGTTTTGTCAGGAGGTTCTTATTACCTTATACACTGTGTAGTTAACAGGAACATAAAATATCAGTAAAATAAAGTATTGTGAATTTAGAATAGATATCAACATTTTCACATCAGCTGTGTACTTGCTCATAAAACCTAAAAAATAACATCAG